GAGAGAGAGAGAGAGAGAGAGAGAGAGAGAGAGAGAGAGACACTAGGAAGTAATGGTTGAAACTTTCAAAGCTTTATTTTTAAAAATCCACCCATAATTTAATAATATTTAAATAATTAGCAAACACCAAAGAAGGAGCAGGGAGAAACCAAAGTTACACAGAACATAAAAAGGCCGAGAGGAAAGAGATATGTTAATCATTACACATTAAACACAGGGGACCAACAATAAGAAAGAAGCAGAACTCTCATCAGAACATTGGAAATTAGGAGACAATAGGGCAACATTTTTAAAGTAATGAAAGAAAATAAAATGTCAACCTAACAGAGCATTTTAGCAGACATACACTATAAGAAGTGCTAGGGCAAGTTGTTTTCCCTAGGAAAAATGAAAATGGAAAATTGATTATATAAGAGGGAATGAAAGATTAAATACCATGACTATAGTCAGAACTTTCAGCTTTCAGTGTTTTCTGGAAGTTGCCATCTTCTAAACAGAGTCACTATTTTACTATTTTGTAAAAATAAATTGAACATAATAGATAAAAAGGATAAAATTTCTTTTGAGAAACGAATTTAACTAAAGTGACAAAAGGAAAAAAGAAATTGGATAACCCTTTTAAATAAATAAAATTCATACTTAAAAGCTCCCCAAAAGAAAAATGCTAGGCTCAGTTAGTTTACTGGTGAATCTTATTAAACACTGAGGAAGAAATTATTCAAGTTTTACCCATTCACTTCTGATATGTCATTTTTTTCCACAAGAATTTGCATTTAAGGGAATCGTTTGTGTTTATTTGCTGAGATATTTAGATCTTAGGCCTAGCCAATAAAACTAAGAATTTGATTCATATTATCAATGGGCTATAATATTGGCAAGGTTATTCATCTGTTCTTCAGTTAGTCCCTGACATTGGTCCTTAGTTTCTGCCAGTTTCACTATGCTATAAGCTGTATACAAGAAGAGAAATGACAAAACATAAAAACTTGGCACAGCTATTCACATAGCTCAAACAACTCGAAGTTACAGTCTTCCTAAAGATGATTGATATTAACATTGATAAAAATAAAGTCAACGTGTTTGAAACAAGAAGAAAGAAGAGGCTATGGAAAGTTTGAGTCAAAATCATGATGAATTTGCACTTTATATACAAATGTTTCAGGCCAAATATTTGGTGGACTAATTATAAACTCTATCAATATTTTTAATCACATGCTACTTGTTGCATATTTATAAAAAGAGCTAAGGATGGCCTCTTACTTGTTTTTCTCTCCTTTAATAATTGCTATTCTGGCTTCTAGCAGAACACACTTTCCCAAGCATGAAAGAGAATAGGTAAAAGTGGGTAAGAGAATGAATGGTGTGTTATCTATGAACATTCAAAGGATAAACTGTTATGAAAAAAGAAAAGTTCTAGAAAATTTAGGCAGCACACTTTCACCAAATCATTAAGTGCATGCACTGCAATGTATATACTAATAGGAAAGCAGATTCCTCAGAAGGTTGACTAGGAGATTGAGCTTTGTATAAAAGAACGTTTTGGAGTAATTATTGTCAGTATCAACATTTGGGGGAATGGAAGAAAGGAGACTAGGCTGAGGGAGAAGGTGGGCTACAATGCAGTAACAATAGAAGGGGACTCCAGGGGAGACTTGAGGCTGAAGGTCCTTTTGATACATTCCAATTCCTTCCAAGGAAAAGGTATCATCAGTCATATTTCACATAAATAAATAATTGGATACAGCTTGTCCCTGCAGGAAGACTGACTTTGGGTGGTGTGACTCTATTTAAAAGATGGCAACTTCCGGAAAACACTGAAGGCTGAAAGTTCTGACTGCAATCTCTCCAGAACTCTAATGTGTTTGTTTACTGGAATAAACTCACTAGAGGAAAGTAAATGGGGCCAACTCAAGGTCTCATGGCTGCATTTGGGCTTGAGGCTACCACTCTTGTATGTTATTGTTTCCTTCCTCCACAGTCTATCCTCCTTCCTTTTCTTCCACAACTAGTACCTGTTCTGGTCTTGGTGGCTTACCTGGTGGGGTGACCCAAACTCATCTCTGATTGATAACCTAACTACCTGATAACCAAACCCTTCTTAGACTATGACTATATTATCTAGCAACTTATCATCAAAATTTGGCAAAACATACCAGGAGGTTACCAAATGCCAAGCATGTGACTCCCTGTCCCCAGTATATCATAAAATCTTTCTGATGATCTGACCAATCACCATTGTCAATGTACTGCTCCCTCCTTGACCACTGGTCCATTAGTATTCGCATCTGAAATATACAGGCAGAAGCTGTAGCTTATATTACACTGGTGGATATTTTATACTTTAGAAACTAAGACCAGTAAACACACAGAGATCAAATTTCAGAAGATAGAGGCACAAACTTTCTACAGGTCATTTCTATTTCCAGCCCTTGACATCTGGTAATATATATTTTAATTGATGGACATTGTTTATTTTAAATAATGGTCATGGCATCATATATTAGTTATTTGATTTGTGTCTTGGACTAAAATTACCTATCTCTGTCTAGTGTAATTTTCAAATTTGTGCTTCACCTGTGCTTTTGATAACTATTCTATCGCTCTTCAATGCCAACCATTTGTAGACTATGTGGTTTGTAATAAGAACAATGGATTTCATGACCATGGGCCCACTGTTGTATCTTCTTTGCTTTAAATTTTCTTATATAGAAAAAATGATAAATTGAAGAGGCAATCTATTAAAAGGGGGAAATATTTATGACTATATATCTCAAAAGAGCTTATTATCCAATGTACATGAGGATTTCAGACAATTCAATAGAATGCAAATTATCTGATTTAAAAAATAAACAAGGATCTGGATAAACATTTATCAAAGGAGACATACAAATGGCCAACAGGTAGGTGGAAAAATGCTCAATATCACTAATCACCAGAGAGATTCAAATTAAAACCACAATGACTTATCAATCATCTGTTAGAATGGATATCATCTAAATGTGAAGAAATAAGAATTGGTGAGGATGTAGAGGAAAGGAATGCTTGTGAGTTGCTGTTGGAATGAAAATTGGTGTAGCCATTATGGAAAAAAATCCAAAGTTTCTTCTTAGTTCAGAGTTTTAGAACAGTGGCATATTGACATCATGGGGCCAGATAATTCTTTTTTGAGGGGAGTTTCCTGGGCATTATGGGATGTTTAACAGCAACCTGGCCTGTAACCACTAGATGTCAGTAGCATCCTCCCATGACA